CCCCACCCCACGCCCCAACAACACAACTCCAACGGTGCTAAGAGCCTGCTCGTGGCAGCTATTATTATAACGTGATGACAGGCCCAGTCACAATCAGAGCCATGGCCATTCCTTTCAAGATGAGCCGAGGACGAAGCACAGGGGACCGCTCTGATGAGACGCATGACTGCAACTTCTTAATCAAACTGCATTACTTAATGATGCATTCTTATAAGATTGTGCAACAGGCATGAGATTTGTCTGTTAGATTGTGTTAAAGTGATTGAAAACAGGCATTAAGAAAAAAAATGGGGTGGGGGTAAAAAAGACAGGGGAGAGGTGATGTTGTGCAAGAACTTTATTGTGGTTGTTTGTGTCTCAGGGTGACTATACACTGTTGGCTAAACAGAGATGAGCTGGGAAGAAACATAAGTGACTGGCTGCCGTATTATTCATTCATCATTGGAGTGTGTTAGTGTGTGTGCGTGTGTGAGAGAGAGAGAGGGAAAGGGAGGGTTTGTGGGGGTGTGGGATGGGGAGGGGGCAGTGTGTGTGTCAGGCACTAGTCCGGCTCGTCTCACTCCACAATTTAAGTTAAATCAGAGGCAGTCACTGGCACACAGCTGCGGTGGTCTCTCTTATCTCTTGTCTGTCTGTGCCKCTCTAAAAGCATCAGCAGCCTCCAGGTTCCACATCACAGGTAAGAGTTTGCATCGTTCTCAGGCCTCTGGCTCATCCACCTTTTTATTTCAAATATCCAAAAGCTTTTACTTCACCAAATTTTTAAAGTCACGTCATCTGTCTCGACTTGAACTGCTCGATTAACGCCTCTCTGTCCAGAAGCAGAAAGATTTTGTAACCATATATAACTTGTAATTCAGMGTAAATATTTGCACAGAAGACGAACATATTTATCCATCATCTCGACTGGCACGGCCTGCCTCTACTGTTTGTTCAGAGTTGTTTGCATGAAAGTCTTTTTTTAAAATACAGGCTGTGAAATCATGAAAAGGAGAATCCACAACTGTATTATGCAGTCTATAAACAAAGGTTCCATAGATCCGCTGAAAATTTGATCCATTTCCTGTTTTAGAAAAAGAAAAAAAACTTCATGCCTTCTGAAAATCCTAACTTATGAAAAATTCCATTTGAAAACATTGATGGAAACAGGAGAACTGGATAAAAAAAATAAAAGCCTTATTAGGGAGAAAACAGGTAGGCCTGTTGAAGTGTAGAAAAAGAAGAATCTGTTTTGACTGAGCAGAAATAATTATTTTAAGAAGTGAAACATTATTAAGTTTTCAACATCATCTTTCGCCTCGGATGTTTCTGTGTTTAAAACAACAGCAGTGAAACAGTCCTCTAATAACCTACGACAACTGGACATAAGTGGCTCAGAAATGGATTTCTTATCTGCCTTGTTATTGTAATCAAACATAGCAGTGCACAACGTGAATGATGACTGCAGAGACAGAGGTTAGAGGTCACATACAGCAGAGTTTTGTAAACAGTAATCGGCAGACATGACTTCTAGAGCCAATCATAAATTAGTTTCTGCACTCTGTCACTGATATTCCCAATGTTTCTGGGCATACAGCCACAACATGTGCAGTTTTGTAAAATGTGCAGTTATTGATAATGTTGCAAAGCGGGTTATCTAATGAATCAACATGTAAATTGAAACAAAAAACTGAAAAAAGGTAAAGCAGGAGATGCAGCATTCTGATATTYACACGCCTAATCTTCAGGCTGACAATTTGTGTAATTGTGCCGTTTTGAAACTGCCGGTGGACAGTGGCGATAAATTCACGCTCCTGTGACATGTTCAGCAGTGCAGGATGTAAAAAGTTGAAAGCGCCCATTGTTGCGAGACTTCCTGTTGACCGAACAGCGCTGAAACGACGCTAAAACGAGAGGATGATCAGGAGACGGCAGGCTTAGAGGCGGTGCAGTGAGGTGAACTTCACTTCGTAATGGGCTGGTATAAATCATTAACTCCACCAAGCGGAGGTTGTTTTAGGAGCTCTCCCTTTTTAGTGGCCAGCTGGTGGTGCTCCAGAGCCAAGCCTCTCGGATAGCTCAGTTGATGGGAACTTTTGTTTCTGTTCAAGCTTTCTCCAACTTTCCTAGCTTTTTTTTTGTTTTTTAAGATTCCCATGATGTAACGCAGGAAGGGCCAACGTTTAAACATCTCTGAAAGTAGGATTAGATGTGGAATGTTGCAGCTATAGTCACTCAGAAGTCAGGCGGTGAGCTGCAGGGCAGAAATGTCCCCAAACTTCCTCTAAATCTTGCTTTTATTGTTCATTGTGAGCAGCTTTATGTTTGCAAAAAAGCCCGGAGCCTCACAATCTTTTGTCTTGTCTTGGAGGATGCAGCTTGCCCCCGTGGACCCTGCGAAGAAGATGTTTACCTTCCTGTCTGTGGTCACCCAGGGTTTATGGCTGCCATTCAGTAATGTGCCATCTCACTCGGAGCTATAGCTCACTGGACACAGTAACTCTCAACCTGCTTCCGATCCACCTCCTGTCTTAGCCACCTCGCCAATTTTACAGGACTTACACACATATAAGCACAGCAATGACATTTAGCCTTGTTTATATGTCACTGCCTTCACTGTCAGTGTTTCCCTCATGGAAAAACACTGGCGCTTAACTGTTCCTGCAAAGCTAAAAGTTGTAGGTCAGTTCCTCCCCGTCTCTCRGATCAGAAATTCTCACAGCATTGGRTTTGAATTTGTGTGAACGTGTTCAACTACTTCTCCAGAGAATATTTTGAATTTATAACCCGCTGGTTATAATCATTCAAGCTAATGTGAACGACATCTGAACCACGGCTTCGTCGGGACATCGGTGACTGCGCAAGAAACTTGCAGMTATTTCATTTTTCTGTTGTTCTTGGCACCCCGCACCACTTCCAACGCTTTACAATCCCCACATCTGCAATCGATACGGCTGTTGCTTTAGTGCGCGAAGAATTCGCCCCGCCGAAAGCTGGTGGACAAAGAAAAAGATCCTGTAATCAGAGATAAAACTGTTCCACGTCACTACTCAGACAGCTTCAGTGCCAATCAGAGGGCAGCAGGAATGCAGCCRGGGGAAGGTTTTCAACTGGAACTGTGCCGCAAATTTTCCATCTGCCCCCAATAAAAATATATTCACATTAACATTATTATTTCAGCGGGATGTATAGATATAGGTTTTTCTCCTGAGGCAGTTGTAAATGTGATTATATCATATTGCTAGGATGCCATCTTGTGGTAATAACTGTACTTAGTTTAGCCAAACTAAATGATTGATTTTTTCTGATTTTTAGTGTTTTTTTAATCACATAAAATATTAATTTCTACAGTTAACCTATCATAGCATCACTGTGCTTGTTTACCCACTTAAGCTTAAAGCTTCCTTCAACATCTTCTCGTTTTAATGAATCCACAAACATGTTATTTGCACATAATTAGTAACAGAAACTGCCCTTCTGGCTAAAATGTTACACACACACAAGGCTTATGTTAATATTATTACTTCATTTCCACTAATGGCACTCACAAAGCCATTCTATTAAACATAAAGACCATCAGCAATAGGGGTGGATTTTTTTTTAAATGTGACATTCTGCTCATATAAATGATACAAGAGGAGAAAGAAAAAAAAAAMCTAGCCCCGAGGCTAAAATTTCTGCAGCAAGCAGGTTTGATTTTCTCACAGAGTGAAGTTTCCACAGAGCCGAATCCCTACTGTCCTGTTTGTTTAGGTGTGCGCTGATTAGAAGTTCTCATGCTGGGTACAGGGTATCTCTGCGAGCCAAGGGTTTCAAACGTGACAGGTCTTTTACGGTGACTGGAGCCTGGAAGCTSTCCCTCCTCCCTCCTTCCTCTGCGTTTAATGGCGTTGTTATCGGAGCTCGCACTTTGCCATGCAGCCTCAATTAACACAGGTCATAACGCGAAGCATAAATGTTCTTCTGGGCGCTGTCAGTCCACCCAGAYGGACCGGCCTTTTGATAAACACTCTTTTACTCTTGCCGTCCATTAGCCGAGGGACAATTTAGAGGAAGCAGACCGTCGGAATAATGATCTTTCAAAGGGCATTTTTGGAATAAACATACAACATCTGTTTTTCATGGCTTCTTCATTTACAGAAATAACATAAAGCTTCAGGATGGCTTTAATGTGCAGGTCTTTAATGAGCTGGTGTTGGGTGAGCACGTTCATGGGTGCTCGTGTGGATTAGCGTTTATGGGCCATGCCAGCGGTAATGACGGTTCCTCTCCCAGACTGTCTGTGACATTTTTTCTTGTTTCTTTTATAGGACTTGCTGAGGCCCTCGCCCAAGGCCTGTATCAGTCACCACAGACGCACCCCGCTGACAAGCACNAATGGGACCCAAAAAAACCATCAGCGCTCGTGGAGGGGCTGAAGTGGCACATTTTAAGTGCAACAAGCCCCCCACCCCCCAACCCAAACCCCCATCCCCTCTTAAAAAAAGTCCCAGGATTTGGCACTAGAMAGAGAAGATGCAGAACCTAACAGTGAAAACGGTGGAAGGGATAAATCTGACATGCGGCATGTCTGGAAATCACATCATCTTCACCCTGGTGCCCATCGTGTACAGCTGCAACTTTATCCTCGGCATCATCGGAAACAGCATGGTAGTGGCTGTTATCTACKGCTACATGAAGCTCAAAACGGTGGCCAACATTTTTGTTCTGAACCTCGCCGTGTCTGACCTCACTTTCGTCATCACTCTCCCAATGTGGGCGACGTCCACAGCCATGGAGTACCATTGGCCCTTCGGGGGATTCTTGTGTAAGACCAGCGCAGGTCTGGTCATTTTCAACCTCTACACCAGCATCTTTTTTCTCACAGCTCTCAGCATGGACCGTTACCTGGCCATTGTGCACCCGATGCAGTCACGGCGCTTTCGCACTGTGGTGTACGCTCGCATCACTTGTGTACTGATCTGGCTGTTTTCTTTAGTGCTCAGCATCCCCACAGCCCTGACCAGGGACGTCCACAACATTAAAAACTCCGAGACCACCGTGTGTGGGATCCTGCATCCATCAAAAGAAAATGAGGAGAAGCTGAAAAACCTCCTTCTGGCCATCAGCCTTATGAAAAGCCTGCTGGGCTTCCTTGTGCCGTTCATCATCATCATCACTTGCTATTGCCTCATTGGGCGGGCGCTCCTGCGGGCRAAACGCATCCAAAAGACATCCCGCTCCCGGGACGACGAGGTGCTGCGCATGCTAGCTGCAGCAGTCCTCGCCTTTTTCTTGTGCTGGGTGCCCCACCAGGTGTTCCACTTCATGCAGCTGCTCACTCAGCTCATGCCCGGGGAGAACTGTGCCATCCTGGAAATCATCGACACCGCCATGCCCTTCACCATTTGCATCTCCTTCTTCAACAGCTGCGTCAACCCCATCTTGTACAGTTTTGTGGGGCACAGCTATCGCAAAAACTTGATGCGTCTTTTGTGTTGCTCCTCGGGYAGAGGCAGGAGGGCTCACCCGAGCATCAGCTCCAAAATGAGTGCCCTCTCTTTCCGTGCCACTGAAGCGTTGAGCCTTACAGTCAAAAGTAATGCTTCCTGTGAGGTTAAGTGACCAAAACTGAAACCAGGATGGAAACAGGCCGGGTACAGTTTCTCCTTTTGGTTTTTGGGTTCGGAGGCTTGAGATAGTGACTTTCCGTGTATTTAAAACCCTCAACAAGCACTGAAACATTTATAAAAATATGGTATTCATGGGCTTCTGTGAGACCAATGGATGATCACTATTACATGTTTCATAACATGCTGATAAATCTTGGGCAATGCTAAGTATGTCCATGTCACTGCATCAAAAAAAGCAAATCTGTCTTCTACAAAAGACCATGCTTGAATGAATATCAGTTATCCAGTTATATATGCTGTAATAGATGTTCTGGAACGTTTTCTCAGTACTGTGAGGTAATGTATTGTGCAGTTTTGTGAGCTCAGCAGGTCCTTCACAGGTTTGAACAGTGATCAAGTGCAGAAATTCACTTCAGCGTGTTCTACCTGCAGCTGCATTAAAGGAAAAAATGAAAACATGAAACAGAATGTTGTGTACATTTACATATGTAAAATATTGGACTGAAATAACTAGTGCCCATTATGTTATGTGGTATTATCAAGTCTTTGTGAAAATGTATATATGTCTGGGAGTAAMAATTAGAGAGGCACACAAACTCTCCGGTTGTTATTTGTATATGTCTATGTGGTATTTAAAAGTGTTGATGGTTTATTTTTGTTTTTTGCTTTTATACTCTTGTAAGTGTACATTTTGTGAGTATATGAAAATATAAATAAATCTTAAAAATATCAGATCATGTGTTGACTTTTTAATGACCTCAAAATGAACGAATTATCCTTATTGGTCATTACCAAAATGTCCAAAAGACTTAATATTTCTTGAAGAAATGCATATCACCCYCTRCCTTTCATGGGACAGTWTTAAACAAAAATCATCTTATCTTGAAAAATGACAGATTTTAATTCTTGTGGTTAAAGACGAACATTGGTAGCATTATAACTAAGACGATTAGTTGACTGCACCATCTTTGCCATATTGGCTGATCTAGCTGTCTACCTCTGAAATAACTCGTTATATCTGTTTATCATGTTTCAGACAGATCTGATTCTTCAAAGCAAAATTCAACAAATGTCCCCTTCAAAAGTTATAATGCAAATGTTTATATTTGGAAATTGTGATTCATATTGTTCATGTATAACCCTGTGCTACACAATAGAATGGGTTTTTTTCAAGCACACTTGAAAATAACTCATTTAACCGTTTCTTCTTGAATTTATTTATTTATTTACCATTATTTTCCAAAATAAATAGAACATATATAGAAATATGTTATATTATATTATATTATATTATATTATATTATATTATATTATATTATATTTAAATAGAACCTTATATGGCAGTTTTGAATCCAGTCTAATTTGTTCAAATGCTTCAGATGTTTTCAGGCAACCAGTTTTAGTGAAACTTCTATCACCGGAGGCGTGCAGAGAAGAAGTTACCAAACCYTTCAGTCACCATCAAATGGCTACAAATTAAAGTAACTTACTCTGCCTGACATTTGGCTGTCAGCTTCAGATTCCTTCACTCCTCTATCCATGATTTACCTCAGAAATATTTAAATGAACACAATAAGTCTGGCTATAGATGCTAATTAAAAAGAAGATTATTAAAATACCCAATTACTGTAACAGAGAGATCGTCCATTTGAACATCAGGGTATTGAGTTTCAATAAAATTCATCCTCCGGCTCATGAAATATTTTGCCAACAGTTGTAAATACTTATAAAATCATTTAATGATCTGAGTATTTGTTTGAGATTAGTCTCCCCTSCTATCAAACCTAATTTTATTATGATATTTAGAGAACTGACTGGGTTATAGCTACATTGGTCTGATTTAAAGTCACTTGGTGGCCATGTTGAACTGGGCTGACCACAAATGCTAACTGGTTGTACAAGTACATGTGATGATTATTTTCTGGGAGTTTTATGAAAATTTGCTCAGCGGTTCATGAAATATTCTCCAAACACAACTGACAAATGAAAACATGCACAAATACATGTTTTTTTAAACTCTTCAAGTCAAAGAGAATGTCGCTATTTAGAGTAACCTTGGCTGAAGTTTCCACAAATATCTATCAATCATTACCTATTTATTGTGAGGGCTCTTGTTCCTCCACGTGGCACCAAAAAACACACTAACAAGGTTCACAGAAGAGGATTGGTAGATCAAAGACAAGCTGGTGTTTATAAGTACAGTTCACAGACAAGACCAGCTTTACTGCCAACATGAAGCTTCTATTGATTTTCGGACTGGTGGCTGCAGCGCTCGCTGACATCACTCGCTTTGAGGGGTACAGTTTTCACTTCATTTTATAAAAAATGTTTGATTTTGTTGTAAGTTATGCATAAAATGGAGACTATCAAAAAGGCAGAAGCTGTTGGGTTAATTACGGCTTTGAACTTTGTTACCACTGAGACATAAAATTATATTTWATCTTCCCAAATTTTGTAAAAGTCGTGTATGTTTAGATTTATGTTAAATACTGTGTGCTCCCAAGAACTGTTAAGCCTTGAGTCATACCCCATTTTTATTATCTTACCATAATACATTTCTCTTTGATCATCATTCCAGTTCTATTGGTATATTAATTATTTTTACATGTGTTTGCTTCATTGAGCCACTTTTTATGGACCTATCAGTCAGTCAAGAATTAGAAAAAAAACATGGAAACTCAAGGAATGAGCTGTTGTTTTATCTGCACATATAAGAAAGAAAATAATTAACAAAAATACACTTTTAATTGGGTCTTTCAGCAATGACATCATGTTTTGTATGTCAGTCATATCTGTGGAAAATGACAATCTTGAAAAGTTTTTTGGGGTAGAAAATGCGCAGTWAATTTTGTTTTAAATTGTGCCTTTTATATTTTTTTAAGTACAAAAAATAATCAGTTTTAATGCAAAGTTCTTTCAAAAGTTCAAAAATTAAGATGCTTTTAAAGCAGTCAAAATTTGATGTTTTTCTTTATTATTAGCATCTCTTCTCTTTTTTTCTTCTTTTTTCTCTCTACAGAGACAAAGTCTTCAGACTGAAGCCCAGGCTGAATGAACATGTGATCTTCATTAAGGAGCTGGCTAACAGCATTGAAGTACTTATCTACTTTCATACTCTCCAAACAGTTCTGTCTTCTATGGTTTAGCAAGTTTTCTAATAGTGGAAGGGGTGACCTACAGGCATTCAAATATTTTTTTTTTCTGTTTTTATTCTTTAAATCAAACCTTTTAGATGCAATATAATATCTAATCCATTATTATGATGGAAGACCATATCTAGGTTTAAATCTTTGAACAACCATTGGACTATGGTGCCACCTGCAGGTCGACATGTGGAGCCCCGAGAGCTCTGAGCAGGTGACCATCAACAWCGATGTGGACATCCACATACCGGCCAAGTACCTCGACATGGTCTACACCATGTTGGGGCAGAGCGGCGTGGAGTATGAGTAAGTCCAGAATGAGCAAAATAAAAGCAATACTACTTTTTTTATATTAAACTATTTTTACATGCGTTACTGCCATAACTATTTATTTTTAGGACTCTGATTGAGGATGTTCAGGTTGTTATCGAAGGCCAGGCTGAGAGCAGAGGGTCTCCCAGAGCCCACAGTTACACCAAGTACAACACCTGGAGTGACGTAAGAGTGAAAAAACAACCAAATTGTAGTCCTGAGATCCTTTTTGTGAGGTATAATGTTATCACATTGATCTCATTTTTCTTTCTTTTGTCCTTTCTTTAAGATCCAAGACTGGATGAACGCCATGTCCTCCTCCAACCCTAGTCTGATCAGCAAGCAAGTGATTGGAAACACATTTGAGGGCCGCCCCATGACTCTCCTGAAGGTAATTCAAGGTTTGTTTCAAATACGTATCAGTTCTGCCTCTTTAGAAACTCTAGTTTATTTTACAATCTGTTCAAAAACCACAGCTTGGAAAGACATCGAGCTCTGCTAAACCTGCCATCTTCATGGACTGTGGTATCCACGCCAGAGAGTGGATCTCTCCTGCTTTCTGCCAGTGGTTCGTCAAAGAGGTAACAATTAGGGCTGTGTATTGGCAAGAATTTGGCGATACGATACATATCATGACAGAGGGGTCACGATACGACATATCCCGATAT